AAGAATAAAATTGTTCTCATAATTGAGCTAAATCTGATAAATCATGCATCGACTGGAAAAATATATCTAATTTTTATTTATTTATTTTTTTTTAAGTTCTGACATTATCTGAATGGTTTTATGGCACTTTCCTCAAATACAGGTGGCATTTTTAAACATCAAATATATCTGTAGTAAAATCAGGGACATTGGCAAAAGTGATTTTTATATACACATAAAGCATATTAAATGCAAGTAAAGTGCTTACTTTGTTTCAAATAACTTCTGTGAAAATAAAATGTCAGTATATGGGATAAGTAACATTCCATCGGCATTCAGCGTAACATGTATTTATGTAAAACCTATTTAAGGCTTGTTCTAAATATGCCTGCCAGGATATTTTTGTATATGATCTATTGTTACACTGAATAACATTTAGTGGGTATCTTCTGTAAATCATGCTAAAAATATATGACAGTCATTATTTTTTTGCTCAGAAAAAACATTTAATTAAACACATTCTAATGTACGGGGAAAACGGAATTTAAAGCTGTATTAAAGTTATGTTATTGTTTTATTGTCTTTGACCCATATATAATTTTGATGACCAAAATTAAATTTTCAGGAAGTAACAACATTTCCACCATTTGGTGAGTATTAAAGTCATTAAATATAAAAGTTCACAAAAAAAAAAAATATTTGAAGTAAAATAAACTGAAAAACAAAAACAAATTACCAAAACTAGTTGCCAAAGTAACATTTCTCATTTTCATTTAGTTGAACTTGGTGTACTAAAATAAAAAGAAAACTGAAATTAAAATTAATGAAAACTATATTAGATATTAAAAAAAAAGAGTAACTAAAAATGACTAAAACACTACAAAAGCACTAAACATTCAATTAAAATTAGAATGGAAATGAAAAAAAAAATATAAAAAAACAATAAAAAATAATAAATACATAAATAATAAAAAAAAACTACAATACAATCTTAATTATTCTAAAAAAAAAAAAGTAAATATTTTAAAATGTTTCCTTGGATGCATTTGGCAAACTCAAGAAACATCTGTAAAACTGACATTTGTGCCATTATTTTGTGTGCTATTTGTGGAAGGTGTCTTATTTTCTTGCACTGAAGCAGTGTGAGTCTGCGGTGGACATCGACTGGATGCTGTGAATTATCCTGAGATGTTTCAGTGAGGGCATGAACGGCGACTGAAGCGTCTGCAGCTCACTGCTGTCATTCCACACGACTGGAAATGTTTCGTAGTAAGATACGGCATATTCCACGCTAATTAAATCCTCACTCACCTGTTTACCTCTCATTTACACAACATACACAGAGTTTGAGCGAACATGAATGCAATCTAAATGTAAATTAAATGAGCTTCATTGCATTCTGTTGGCAATTATTAAAGCTGTTTTAAGTTTAACTTTCGGGACTCTTTACTATTTCCTCCTTATCTCAAAACTGTCATTTACTTAAAGTCTTTCAAGTTTAATTACCACTTTTTTTTCTTTTTATTTTACTGGCCACAAAAATAGACTTATTTGCATGTTCTGGTTTTTCTGAACTTTTCTCACACAATTAAAGCAGCATTTCTGACGCATAGCAGGAGAAACTCACAGACTCTGAATTTACTTGTAAATGTTTAATGTATTGAATGTCAGGATTGGAAAGCGCAGTTTTAAGTTTTATCTGTAGATATGAAATCTTTCTGAACTCTCTTTTCCCTCTTTTATGCACTGATTTCAAACATGCAATGATATGGGACGGCAAACTCTGCAGGCGCTGGATAAATGCAGCTTGTTTTCAGTAGGATACAGATTATACTCCTGATTTTGGAAAGAATATAAATATGCTAAAGCATGTCAAACCAAGCTGAGAGCAATACAATTTGCTGGAAGCACAATCAAATTAGCCAAAATTATAAAATAAGAGGAAATCTATGGAAATTTCGGTAGAGCTGCCGATACGTAAGATATAATGTGTTTTAATACCCCTTGTGAAAAGCAAGTACATTTAAGCATACTATTAGAGTACTTATTACTTAATATACTTTAAAGAATATCATGTTTTGGACACTTAATTGCATGCTATTTGCAATTAAATGAAAATATATTATAGTTTACATTTATATTACATGAAATATGTTTGCAATTTTTATGTTAAAAAGTGAACTTTAGAGTTTTTTTGACCCACTTAAGTAGGACTTAAGTACATCTTTATATGTCATTTCATAATTACTTATGTTTTCTTTGAAATATGGTTAAAGTGCTGCTGAATGTACTGACAAGCATTTATGAAAAGCTAAAATATAAACAAATGATAATGTATTTCTATTGAGACTTGTATGCCGTGAATTTATGTTTGAAATTACACATTTGTCAAGTTGTAATTTAGTGCATTTAAAATATATTAACTTTAAATGTGTGAGTGAGTGTGTGTGTGTGTATGTGTGTGTGTGTGTGTGTGTGTGTGCTTGTACCTCTGTTGAGTGTAGCTGAACTGTTAATGTCTCCAGCCATGAACGAAGACTCGGACTGCTTCCTCACCGTGTCGTTCCACATGCGGCGGATTCGGCTCTGTGAAGAACAACAGCGTGTCACACACACGGCTCTCACATGATCAGAGCCAGATCACTTCACCTGCTACACACAAATCAGTCAGAAATCATACTCAACAGCTTTTCAAGTTCGTTCAAAACATCACACAGGTCTGGAACGACATGAACAAAATATTCATTTTTAGCTTTATCCCGCCTGAGACGCTCCCAGCTCACTGCAGCAGTGTTTGTTTGTCAGTATAAAAGCAGAATCCTGTGGTTCCTCATCTCTCTGACATTTACACACACACACACACTCGCACTCACGGGTCAGACGAGTGTGTTTCTGTTGCATGTCAGATTATACACGACCCCTAAAAGGTCAAAGGTCAAATTGGAAACATTGTCTCTATGGAGATCATGTAACCGGACAAACCGTTACCATGGAAATGATATATTAAAGCACAGATACATAAAGCCGAAGATTTGTATGAGACAAGGACAACATACAATGGAAATCCTGCCTGCGCCGCGCTTCAGTCAGAGAACACGAATGGAAATTAAGATTTCTCAAGAAAGGAATGAATTATTTGTGCTGGGACTGAATTGAATTTTTTTTTTTCTAAAAAGCCTATAGCAAACTACAAGACTAGCACTTTTTTTTGCAGGATAGAATATATACTGCGTGTAGCATGCAAATGTTTCAATGTATTTGTGCCCTAAATATGCATGAAATACTGTTATGCAAAAGACCGAATTGTAAAAAGCACATACAAATTAATCTTTCTTTGCCTTTCTGTAAAATACTACAAGACTACATGTTTAAACTTACTGTCAAAATGTGCAGTAAACAGTAGTGCGTTTTTGGTTTTTGGTTTTGAACAGATTGTACTGTAAAAAGCATATATAAATAAATGAATTAAATAATATCTGCTATGACTTTTAACTCAAATCATCTTCCCTTGGAGTTTTATCAGACTTCCAAAAAAAGATTAACACACCAAATTGGATTAAAAATGCAAAATATGATAATTGGAAACCATATTCTGAGCGAAAAATGTAAAATGAGGTAATGTGACAACGATATTAATGACTGCAGTTAGAAATGATTATCATTGCATACTGCATACCATTTTACATGCAATTAAAAAATATAAAAAAATCAAAATTAAAAAATTAAATATACAAGTCAAGAGTTTGGAATAATGGAATTATTAATTATAATTAATTATTAATTAAATGATTTCTGAAGGATCATGTGACACTGAAGACTGAAGTAATGATGCTGAAAATACAGCTTTGATCACAGAAATAAATTACAGTTTAAAATAAAATAAAAAAATTAAAGAAAAATATTTGTAATAATATTTCACATTATTACTGTTTTTACTGTAATTTTAATCAAATAAATGCAGATTTGGTGAGCAGAAGAGACTTAAAAGCATTTAAATAAAATATGAATTACTCAAAACTTTTGACCGGTAGTATACAAATTTACATTTATGAAAAATCTCTTATTGACTTTTAATGAAGTACTGCTTGTAACACAATGCAAAATGAATGAATAAAAGAAATGCGATGCACTGAGCTGATCAGGTGTGTGGTGTATAAAGACATAGAGCTGATAGTTACTTGTTCATACTGTAACTGTGAGGAGTTTGTCATACAAGGCGGGTGATGAACCTTGTGATGAAAGAAGAAAGACACAAAGAGAGAGAGAGTGAGAGAGAATACACAAACATGGACACTCACAAAATCTCTTGTGTTTGTGCTGCTGTGTTTGTGTGTGTTTGTACCTGTGACGCGGAGGAATATCGTCCCGGGCCGCGCGACGACGAGCTCTTCACCGAACCCACAGACGAGTCCACACTCTTCCCGCTGTAGCAGTGAGTCCGCAGACACTTCCCGTACTCTTTACGCACCTACACACACAGACACAGACACACAGACACAGAAACAGACACAGACACAGACACAGACACAGAGCAGAATCCTGTGGTTCCTCATCTCTCTGACATTTACACACACACACACACTCGCACTCACGGGTCAGACGAGTGTGTTTCTGTTGCATGTCAGATTATACACGACCCCTAAAAGGTCAAAGGTCAAATTGGAAACATTGTCTCTATGGAGATCATGTAACCAGACAAACCGTTACCATGGAAATGATATATTAAAGCACAGATACATAAAGCCGAAGATTTGTATGAGACAAGGACAACATACAATGGAAATCCTGCCTGCGCCGCGCTTCAGTCAGAGAACACGAATGGAAATTAAGATTTCTCAAGAAAGGAATGAATTATTTGTGCTGGGACTGAATTGAATTTTTTTTTTCTAAAAAGCCTGTAGCAAACTACAAGACTAGCACTTTTTTTTGCAGGATAGAATATATACTGCGTGTAGCATGCAAATGTTTCAATGTATTTGTGCCCTAAATATGCATGAAATACTGTTATGCAACAGACCGAATTGTAAAAAGCACATACAAATTAATCTTTCTTTGCCTTTCTGTAAAATACTACAAGACTACATGTTTAAACTTACTGTCAAAATGTGCAGTAAACAGTAGTGCGTTTTTGGTTTTTGGTTTTGAACAGATTGTACTGTAAAAAGCATATATAAATAAATGAATTAAATAATATCTGCTATGACTTTTAACTCAAATCATCTTCCCTTGGAGTTTTATCAGACTTCCAAAAAAAGATTAACACACCAAATTGGATTAAAAATGCAAAATATGATAATTGGAAACCATATTCTGAGCGAAAAATGTAAAATGAGGTAATGTGACAACGATATTAATGACTGCAGTTAGAAATGATTATCATTGCATACTGCATACCATTTTACATGCAATTAAAAAATATAAAAAAATCAAAATTAAAAAATTAAATATACAAGTCAAGAGTTTGGAATAATGGAATTATTAATTATAATTAATTATTAATTAAATGATTTCTGAAGGATCATGTGACACTGAAGACTGAAGTAATGATGCTGAAAATACAGCTTTGATCACAGAAATAAATTACAGTTTAAAATAAAATAAAAAAATTAAAGAAAAATATTTGTAATAATATTTCACATTATTACTGTTTTTACTGTAATTTTAATCAAATAAATGCAGATTTGGTGAGCAGAAGAGACTTAAAAGCATTTAAATAAAATATGAATTACTCAAAACTTTTGACCGGTAGTATACAAATTTACATTTATGAAAAATCTCTTATTGACTTTTAATGAAGTACTGCTTGTAACACAATGCAAAATGAATGAATAAAAGAAATGCGATGCACTGAGCTGATCAGGTGTGTGGTGTATAAAGACATCAAACCACAGCCATTAAACCGTGCACCTGCTGTCATTTATTGTGTTTTCATTGTCGGTGTGTTTCAGTGATATACTGTGTTAAGGTTGTGTAATTCATGGAAGTGTTTATTAAATGATGACAGCATTAGAAATGAGCTCATCAGTAAAGTTACATCAACTCACTGAAATATCTCCATCAGCTGAAAACTCACTTGCATTAAGATGACTCTGGCATCATGTCAAAATTATCAAAATGTAGTGAACAGGCCTATATGTAATTATAAACCATTAAACTAAATGCGATGCACTGAGCTGATCAGGTGTGTGGTGTATAAAGACATAGAGCTGATAGTTACTTGTTCATACTGTAACTGTGAGGAGTTTGTCATACAAGGCGGGTGATGAACCTTGTGATGAAAGAAGAAAGACACAAAGAGAGAGAGAGTGAGAGAGAATACACAAACATGGACACTCACAAAATCTCTTGTGTTTGTGCTGCTGTGTTTGTGTGTGTTTGTACCTGTGACGCGGAGGAATATCGTCAGTAAAGTTACATCAACTCACTGAAATATCTCCATCAGCTGAAAACTCACTTGCATTAAGATGACTCTGGCATCATGTCAAAATTATCAAAATGTAGTGAACAGGCCTATATGTAATTATAAACCATTAAACTACTTTGAACAGTCTGCGGTTTTATTTTAGTATTATTTATATATTATTATAGTTTGTATTATTTTGAATTAGCTTTTATTTTTTTATATTTTCATTTTAATTTTACTTTAAGTGAAAGTGATTTATTTTGTATTATTATTTATTATTGTTTTAATTATTTTTTAATATTTTTATTTAGCTTTATTTATTTATTTATTTATTTATCATTGATTTATTTTATAATATTTATTTGTATTTCAGTTTTAGCAATTTTAGTACTTAAGCTTATTGTCTATCAGTTGCCAGGAAAACATTTAGAATTTCCATTTAAGGTTGTTTTTTTTTCAGTCTAATATTATAATATTTACTTTTATTTTATGAAAACGGTTAAGGTTTTGTTAATAATAACACTATTATGTTTAGTTAAAAATAACATTATTTAAAGTTTTCATTTTAATTTTAGTTTAAGTTTTAGTTTTTCTGACATTTTATTTTATTTTTAATATTCATATTTATCTTTAATCTATTTTTAAATTTTAGTAGTAATTTTAGTACTTCAACTTATTTTCTATCAGTTAGCTGCCAAGGCAACATTTTCATTTTTCATTTAAGTTTTAATTTTTTTTTCCAATCTAATATTTATATTTTATTTCAGCTTTATTCAAATTAACAAAAACAAGTCTTAATAGTTTAAATTAAGAATAATATTGATTTTAATTTTATTTTAGGAATTCCTTTTAGTTTAAATTTTATCTTGTTTTTAGTAATTTTATCTTTTTTTTTTAATATTCATATTTAACTTTAATTTATTTTTATTTTTAGTTTTAGTAGTCATTTTAGTACTTAAACCCATTTCCTTTAAGTTAGTTGCCAAGGTGACATTTCCAATTCAATTTTTTTCACCTAATATTTATATTTTATTTCAGCTTTATTTAAATTACCGCAAACGATTTTCAATGGTTTTAGTCAACAATAACAACAACTGTGATTGTGTGTACAGTAGGTCGTGTGATCTATTATGTGTTTGTTGCTTTTGAATGTAAAGGACAAGATCAGGAAGTGTTTATAATGTGCTAAAAGTAAAATAATAAAATAAAAGCATGAAACAAAATAAAATAAAATAATATAAAAAATATATATATTTAAGTATGTAGTATGGTTTTACTTGACATGTTTTGTTATTATGTTATTGCTTTGTAAAGTAACCATAGCCATATATTCTTATTCATATATTTGTATCATGTGTGTATATGAATGTGTTTTTCCCAACCTTCTTCTGCAGGACGCAGTGAAATATGAAGATGAACATGCCCTGCAGCGAGTTAAAGATGGTGAAGAGGTACGCCATGATCACCGTGCTCTCGTTAACGTACATCAGGCCAAACGCCCAGGTCAGGCCCAGCAGACAGAGCAGTGCGATCGCTCCGATCACCCACGATCTGAAACACACACACACACACACACACAGCGAATTAGCCCTGAAAATACAGTCAGAACTCATTACTCGCAATATAAGACATAAGTGCGAGATCAGTGGCTAAATTGGTAAACCCGCACACACACACACACACACACACACACACAGACACACACACACACACACACACACACAGACACACACACACAGACACACACACACACACACACACGGCAAATTAGCACTGAAAGTACCTGGGAAACATACAGTCAGAACTCCTTACTCGCAATATAAGACATAAGTGCAAGATCAGTGCCTAAAGTGGTACATTTCTACCCAGCTCTCCACCTAAATTAAATATGACTTCAGTTAAAGTGAACTCCATTTTCTCAATTTTATATCCCACTCATGCCGCTCAATATCTGTGGGACTTTGTTTCACAAGAAAAAAAGAAAATGAATGAAGACGCTGCCAAGAACCAAAAAGAACAAAAGCAGCATCAGTCATTCGCTCTCAGAAAAAAAGGTACAAAAGCTGCCACTGCTGCAGGATCCTTTCAAAAGCTACTGCAATATGCACTTTTTAAGGTTAATATGCATCTTTTCAGGATAAATTTAAAAGGCAGTCGTCCAGGGACAGACTTTGCAACATTTGCACCGATGAATAAAAAGTTTCAGTAACACTTTACTTAAAGCCTTTAGGGCATTATAAAAGCATTTTTAATGCATTAATTGTTCCTTGGAATGCACCATTGATATAGTATTATAGTTTCTATTAATATTTTGAACCAGTTTTTATTTTTATAGTTTATGTTTTCATTTTATTTATTTTTTTTCTTCATATATGTCTAAATAGTTTTATTCAGTTTTCATTTTAGATATTTTCGTATCAAGTTAAACTAAATTAAAATGAGAAATGTTGCCTTGTCAATCAAATAAAATATATAAAATGCAATTTTTCCATATTTTATTTTATGTCAGTTAATATTTATTTATTTCAAGTAATGACAATGCTTTTTTAAATGGATTTAATTTTAGTTTCAGTTTTAGTTAACTACAATAACCTTGTATAATCAAACATTAGTCATAATTCATTTTATTACTTATCTATTTAGAAAGTATAATGCATTAAAACAAAATAGTATAATGCATTTTAACTTTGGTTACAATTATTTATGAAAATAAATAATGCATTACAACGTACACGTACAAAAGCTGCCACTGCTGCAGGATCCTTTCAAAAGCTACTGCAATATGCACTTTTTAAGGTTAATATGCATCTTTTCAGGATAAATTTAAAAGGCAGTCGTCCAGGGACAGACTTTGCAACATTTGCACCGATGAATAAAAAGTTTCAGTAACACTTTACTTAAAGCCTTTAGGGCATTATAAAAGCATTTTTAATGCATTAATTGTTCCTTGGAATGCACCATTGATATAGTATTATAGTTTCTATTAATATTTTGAACCAGTTTTTATTTTTATAGTTTATGTTTTCATTTTATTTATTTTTTTTCTTCATATATGTCTAAATAGTTTTATTCAGTTTTCATTTTAGATATTTTCGTATCAAGTTAAACTAAATTAAAATGAGAAATGTTGCCTTGTCAATCAAATAAAATATATAAAATGCAATTTTTCCATATTTTATTTTATGTCAGTTAATATTTATTTATTTCAAGTAATGACAATGCTTTTTTAAATGGATTTAATTTTAGTTTCAGTTTTAGTTAACTACAATAACCTTGTATAATCAAACATTAGTCATAATTCATTTTATTACTTATCTATTTAGAAAGTATAATGCATTAAAACAAAATAGTATAATGCATTTTAACTTTGGTTACAATTATTTATGAAAATAAATAATGCATTACAACGTACACTATGCATTATACATAAATGCTTTAAGTAAAGTGTTAGCATTCATTCGCACAAACGCTACAAAGCTTTTGACTTCAGAAGACTTGAAATACAGCGCACAAATCCTACAGAGCACTTTAAAGGGTCTTATTTTGTCCTTTTGGAGTTTGACTGGTCTTTTGTTGATCTGCTCAGAGTTTCTGACAGAAAAAAAAAAAGTTTGGAGTGACATGAGGGGAGTAAATTATTACCGAATTGTCATTTTTAGGCAAACTATAGCCTTTAAATACCATCCCACATCTCCTTCTTTCATTCGATGAGAGCTGAATGGGTCTGTAATGAGACGAGCGTGTTTGTGTTGTGCTGTTTTCATCCGCGGGGCTACAGATCCACCCAACTGACTCCATCCAGCTCAATTTAATACTAAAATTAAAATTACACACATTTACTTATGGAATACATCCAATATACCACTAATGGGACACGCAAACTTCGTAACATTATCATTAACTATAATTCCGGAAAATAAATAAATAAGCCTCAGTGAGACTGCATTTCAGAACAAATATTTCCACTATTAAAAGACACTGTATTTCTACATTTTCTGAAGAAATCATCAGTGCGGATTTAAAAGGCTATGGGGGGGGGGGCAAGTTTGAACTTAGCTGTCAATCATTCAGTTGGCACATTGCAAATGCAGCTTTCCAGAACAATTATGGTTGCAAAAAACTCTCAATGTAGAAACGTGCTGTAAAAATCGCTCAGCCTGGTTTCATTCAAAAAATGAAATATGCATTTTAAATAAGTATATGCTAGAGTGTTATAGACGGTTTCCTGGGTTCACATGTTTGGGGTCTATAAGATTTTATTATTATTACTTTTTAATAGAAATTAATGCTTTTATTCAGCAAGGATGCATTAAATTCAAAAGTGACAGAAAATACATTTATAATGTCACAAAAGATTTATATTTCAAATAAATGCTGTTCTTTTGAACTTTGCATTCATCAAAGAATTCTGAAAAATAAAATGTGTCACAGTTTCCACAAAAATACTGGGCAGCACAACTGTTTTCAACACAACTGAAAATTCAGCTTTGATCACAGAAATAAATTATATTTTAACAGATATTCACAAAGAAAACAGCTAGTTTAAATTGTAAAAAATATTTCACAATATTACAGTTTTTACTGTATTTTTTATCAAATAAATGCAGCCCTGGTGAACAGAAGAGACTTCTTTCAAAAATATTAAAAAAAATCTTAAAGACTCCCAACATGTTTAATGCAGCTCAGAGATAGCATGAATGCATTTACACTACTATTACAGTTGCATAATTTTATAAGAGCAACATTTTCAGTATAGAAATATGAAATGATGCTTAAATATGAAATATTTAATATGAATATTAATATATTAGAATATGAATACTAAATATGAAACAAATAGGGAGTCATTGAATCATTCATTCAACCAATGCATTCAAAATAACCGAATCTTATCGACACCATACATATAAACGGTAGTATTTGAGTGTTTTAGCATATTTTATGATATTTTGAGACTCAGGTCTCTTAAAATATAAGTCTACATGATTTTTTTTTTTTTTTTCCATTTTATTGTCCAACAGGTCAAA